TTGGTTAATCTCTGTTCTTTCATGACAATACCAGACCTCATGTGGCATGGGTGGCCAGGGATACCATACAGTGACTTGTCTGGAAGACATTGTGCCAACTACCTTCCTCCTTGGACCTTGTGCCAAATTCCCTGAACAACCACCTATTTAGGAAATTCTTTTGCAAATAAGGCAAACTTCTGGCAGGCACTCGCAGTCTTCTTTGAGTCTAAAATCTGATTTTTACCTCCAGGGCATTGTGCTGTTGGAGGCATATTGGCGAAAGGTTCTGGATGCCAATGGGGATTACTTTGGGAACCAACTGTATGTCAAAATTGATTTTTTTTTTAATAAATCAAAAACAGTAAGGACTTTTTTGGTTACCTTAAATATATATATATATATATATATATATATATATATATATATATAAGACTCTTCAGTCATAGAAATAAATACCATATGGAGTCATTAATAAAGAGAAACAACAGTAAGGCTTCAACAGGCAATAAGAACATTAGGTTTAAGGCACCAACTTTTAGGGTCATGATTGCCCCATAGGACAATAACCCAGTGGATTAAAAAGTTGGTTTGTAAATTTGGTGGTGGTATAGTAATTATGAATTCAATGGATAGTACAAATAATGGAAATAAGAGTGAGCAATAACTGAGCAGTACTAAATGAGAAGAAAGTGGGCAAATTAACATTAAAGAGGGGTCAGTACAAATTTCATTAACCAGCCTATTAAATCTACATATTATAAAAATCATACATGGACTATCTTATATATATATATATATATATATATATATATATATATATACATACATACACACACTCTGACATGCCAAAAGTTCGGGGATAGTAGTATGTAAAGGTAATGGTAGATGTTGCAAGTTTAATTTATTAATGTCTCACTAAGAATTATTATATTAAGAACATTTAATACATTATATTTCTTAAATTTCTTATACATTGGCACAAATTAGTTTACTCTATTTATATTTAAGTGTCACACATCTCTTTTTTATGAAAGAGGGCATAATTTTTGAAATTGTAGGAAAAGCATTTTGAGTAGTAATGTTTTCTAACTATTGGTTCAGTATTGTCAATTTCTTTCTGTATCATTTATATTCAAACATTTTTAACATTTGCCTATAGTTTTATTCATTTATCCCTTTCTTATTTATTGATTGTAAAGCAACATTTTTTTATGGATGAGGACGTATTTTCAAATTTGTAGGAAAAGTGTTTTGAATCATAATGTTATTTTGTTTTTGATTTGTTCAGAATAGTCAATTTCTGCTATTATTTATCTTTCAATTATTTTGAACAAATAATAAATTTTTTCTCATATATTTGATGATAATTTTATACTTTTATTCTTTTCTTTTTTTATTTATTGATTTCTATTATTATCATTTAAAACATATAATAACAATTCTTACCCTTTGATGATGAACTGTTTACTCCAACATCCAGTGTAAAATATATACACTTCGGGTAGATGGAACTCATCAGCCCGGGAGTGTAGTCAATCTAAGAGAAGAGAAAGAAAAATCTGAATTTAAACCTCCACTGCCTTGTGGCTATACCCAATCATGGGAAAGGCTTTGGGAGTAAACCCTGAGGACAAACCCAGAGCTGGAGTTCCTAAGACAGTCTGATGTTATGTTCAACTTTGTTCTGACAACTCCTGTGATGACACTGGTGCCAAGTTGTATTGGACTCTACCTTTTCCTTGGACAACATTGGTGGCATGGATAGAGGAGATGTGCTGTATGAGCAACTGCCGATCTCTCAAAAAACCCTGCTCAGGCCTGCACCCTGGAGAGGATATTCTAGCGTCGCCTCACTATGATAGCAAAAACATGGGAAGGAACAGTCTACTGATGGGAGGATTCTGAAGGTCCTTCTGTCTAGGGAACTGGCCACTGGCAAGGGGGCACAAATGTGAACTCATCTTTGCTTCAAGGATGTCTGCAAAAGTGACATGAGGGCAATGGACATTGAGAGGCAGGCAGACTTCCAACAATCGCTCATGCTTGAGATGTGATTTACACTGAAAGCTGGAGCAAGGAGAGAAGGAATGGAGGCTTGCTACTAGGGGGAAGCATATTGGAAGGAAAGAAAATAACACAGTGACATCAGAGCAGAATGTCTTCACATGCATTTGCATTGGCTGCAATCAAAACTGTCACTCAGATGCTGTGCCACAATCAGCAACTGAGGCATAGCTTTTTGGGCACAACTCCATGGTCTCTTGAGACTGCCAGATGCCACAATGCTGTACCTTGATGTCATGGATCACAGAAAGAAATGGCAACCTACTGTGGGAAAAAAATCTATTTCAGTCATGTATCGAAAAATTCATGATTGCATAAGCATGTATCATGCATGGCACATAACTGACTGAGTACAGGTGTTTCAGTTAGTTGTCATCACTGTTTTTTTTTTTTTTCTTAAACAGTAAAATTAATAACATTGATAAATTCAGAAATCCTATTAAAGAACAATTGTGCATCTGGTTTGATTACTGTTAGTGGCACAATTTTTCTTTAGTACAACTTTTCAATTTAGGCCAGTTGTTATTAATTTCACTGTTTAAGAAAATAAAACATAGGTGGAGCAAGTCAAACATGTGTACCCACTAAAAATAACACCGTAATAAGATATATATAATACACATACACAGTGATGTTGCAGTATTCTTGATGTAAGTCATTTACTGAATCCTAACGAAATATCAGATTTGTTTTTGTCTTTTTAGCCAGGCCAAAAACTCTTCACTATCCCTTGTATATACAGTTTGAGGTTCTTGAATCAAATTATAAATAAATATAAGAAAATAAAACTCAACCAGTCAAGTATTAAAAAAAACTCTTAGCCTTAAAGAAAAAGATGTTAAGGAAAACTGGAAAAATTAAATAAGATTTCTTCAAAAGTAATAATCTGTTTATAAATGTAGACAAATTGATTCACTTTGTTAAGAAACAAAGACAATTATGCAAGAAAGACAAGAAAAATAACTTCCTGATGAAATTGACTTAAGAATGAATTAATAAAATGATCAATAAAACTAATTAAAAAAATTAATGCAAATCAATTAAATTCAGAGCTTACTATTTGCAGTTTAAGTCTGTTCCCCATTTATTTTCATATCATTCAGTCATCTTGTGTGTGTGTGTGTGTGTGTCTTAATTTCAGTCAGGTTGACTGTCTGTTCTCCATTTATTTCTGTAAACATTTTTCTTCTTGGTATTATAGGACTTCTAAAAATTATCAATAGGGTTTTCTTTGAAGAAGCATCTGTATGTATATATTTCTCATTTGAAGATAGAGACAGAAATTAATGTTCTTGAATATGAATGAAATTTTAATATTTTTTCTTATTTTCTATATTTATTTGGTGTTAAAATGAATTTTTGGATGGCTTTAGGGAATGACAATTGTACAATTGGAAAAGTGTGGGGAGAACAAAAGAAAAAGATTTCAACAAACAGTAAAATAATATTATTTATTTTAAATTACAATTAAAACTGTGTATTCTCAAGTATTTTGATACTTCGATACTGATGTTTTTTTTTTTTTAATTTTATTACAAATAGTAATTTATCTGAGTTTCCTCATTAATATCTGAAGTAGTTACATATTTGTCACTGGTACAAGTAATTGGTATTCAAGCCTAAATAAAGCTAAGATTCTGAATGCTGATTTTCAAAGCAGGCAGACATGTAAGCCAGCAATTCTCACCCACCTCTGAGGAATAGCACATGATCTTCTGGTCAGTAATCTACCCTTATTTGATTTGATTCCAGAATAAACTTAATGTAGTATGCAATTCATGCCAGGAAATACCAGAAGTTCAAATCAAAGTTAATGTCCATTAGGAATCTTTGATCTCAGAGGAGTTGATCCATAGCAACCTCAGTATGTACTGGGTTCATTCTAAGATACTAAAGTAAGATTTGTACTTGGTGTCATGTCAGAATGTCAAGAGAACTAAGTGCATCAAAGGATTGGCCTAGAAGGTTACCTCATAGCCATCAAGTGCAGAATTGGGCCTCAAAAGATAGCAGTGGGTTCACCAACAAACAGGAAGTCAACCCAACTGAAATTAAGATACACACACACACAAGATGATTGAACGATAGGAATTATATATAAATGCCTGACCTATGAAGTGGGGAAAAGATTGAGTGTTTAAAGAATGTTCATGAAAACCACATACCCTCCACAGTTGATATTAATTTAATGGAGTCCAGTAGTGAATGAATTATTTTTTGTATGAAAAATTTTGCCTCATATTCTAATATTGCTAACATTACACTAGCACTGATTGGTCTAAGATATCTGTTAGATAATGTATTGAAAGCTTACTTGTATTTATTTAATGCATTAAAAACATTCATAGTTACATTATGTTTATTGAGATTCCAGATTTAGATAATTATCTAATTAGATAAAGTGGTTTTCTTTAATAGTTGATTTTGTCAAACAGGTGACTTTCAAAAAGACAAACAAAAAGAAGTTTGATTCCTTAAATTACATAAAACTTAATCTGGTGTGCAAGGGAGATAAATGATAATTATTTGAATTTTAAGAATCATTTGTTCATTAGGATACCCTGTTGTTACTCTTCATGGTATTTCTTGTGACAATGAGAGTTATTTGAAACCTTCAAAGTAATGGGCAACAAGTTGTACTGGCTTACATAGTGGTTACATAGTATCAGCAACAGGAAGTAATCCTTGACTTGTTGTATTGGAAGAGGTGGTTTCATGCCTTTTCCAATGGCATTAGGACAAAGTGAACATGAAACTAGATCAGCTGGAATTTGAACTCTGTTCATTGATTCCATTTTCCAAGTTGTTAATCGTGAGGCCAACACTGCACTTACAATCAGTGATTGAAAAAAAACAACTTTTTTTTCAAAAGTTTCCTTTTAAAACGAGGTATAGGTAGACTAAACTGTTGAAACTTACCCAAATATTTTATTTCCATGCTTTGAATTTTTTAGGTTCAATCCGGGCTGAATCGATTGCAGCGTCTCGTGTGGAACATGCACTGTCTGAAGTAGCATCTTCTATGAACAGTACTTATTTACCAAAACAGGGATCACAACAGATATGGATGTTGCAAGCACAAATCTGGTTACACTTAGGTAAGTGCCTTTGTTTTGTAGAATAATGATTTCTTTATGCCTCTAGAAATGTTTTTTTTTTTTTTTTTTTTTTGTAGTAACATCTCTTGTAATATTTACAAATAATAGTTGTCTATTCTCAAGTTAATTATAGCATAATTTCATAGTGGAAAATATTTTAATTTGCTTTCTCTTATTGAAAATACACTTAACTAATATTTGAATCATTCCTGCATGTTTTAATTAGAAAAAAAAATCTCATTTGTTTGGAATTTGTTGAGCTATGAAAGTTTATTTTGTTACTGTAGCTGATCAAATGAAAAAATGTATCCATAGTCATATACATATACTATGAAAAGAATTTTATTCAGAATATTATTGAGTCAAAAATTGTTAATTTCATTCATTAATTCATTGACAGTAGGAGGGGGATAAAGTACAGTCAGAAAGGTTGGCCATTCAAGTTTTCATATACAAATTGGTGTTGCTCAGCTAAATTTAAAAAATTTACTCTTGCAGTAAACATTTTATGATGAACTTAATCCAGAATTACATATTAAAAAAAAAAACAAAAACAAAACAGAATTTTTTTTTATATTTGTTGATAATAAAGATTTGAAGTGATGATTTTTCTAGGCTCCAGTAACTTATAGTGGATAATACCTGTCCTATTCCACCTTATGTAGAGGAAGTGCTAGGTCCTTTTTGACAATGTGTGCTAACAGCTGCTGTCTGTTACTGTTAACATACAATACTCATTTCTCATTCCCTGTAATACTCTGGTGAATAAAAAGGAGTTTTTCATTCTTTGTCAGCAGAACAGTGAAAATAGTTGAATAATATGCTAGAGTATCTGGGAAATATCTTCCTTAGATTGCTTTCCAATTTGCTGAAGTATTTTGTCTATTATTGAACATGATGCATTGTGCCTTCTTGTTAAATAACTGGTGATTTAATGAGAATCTGTTTTAACAAATATCTTTAAAAGATAATCATCCTAAATGGTTGATTTTCCAAAGCAAGGTCAGTCAGCACAAATATTCATGCTGTATTACTGCTAATATGAAATCCATAGAGCATGCAATGACAAACAAAATCTTTGTCAGAGTATTTGTTTCTCATGGTATATAAGACAGGGTTGGGTTTAAACACAGGGTTGGGTCAGCATATATGTGTGTGTGTAATAAGAAAAATTGATCATTCTCTTGTGGCTGTTGCTGCAAAGGCATCTGGTTGACCCCATAACCCCCACTTTAGTGTAGTAAGGAGGTGCTGCTTCAAAGTTGAAATCTTAAGGGACTAGACTCATCTTCATTTATTTTGTGTCCTGTCTTGCTTGAAGACAAGAATAAGTGTAATCTCATTCCTGAATGGCCAAGGATAGAACAGAGAAGAGATTTTGCTGGTCCAAGCTGGTCTTAGCTGGTCATAGCTTGCCAGAGCTGGTCCAAGCTGGTCATAGCTGTGATACTACCAGCACAGGGACGGATCCCTGTGCCAGGTAGGATCTATCAAAGATAGAACAGAGAATATTTAATTCTGCCCTCCACCCAATGAAAATTAATTTGACACAAGTTCAGTTTAATGTGGGCCTACACATGTTTTGTGCAAGTAGAAGCAATATTTAGCTAGCTCTACAAAGGTGTCAAAGTGACTCATGACTCATGACTCTTGCTCTGAGTATAATAGGGAGGTACTACTCTGGAGGTGGAATTTCCAGGGACTAAGCACTTATGTTTCAATAGAAACCAGAAATAAGCTTATTCTAGTACAAAATGGCTGGGGAGCAGAGATTCTATTTGTCTCCTCACTAGTTCAATGTGGAACGCCACATGTCTATATGTGGATAAAAGTAAAGATTTCTCAGTCTCCTGTGGCCTGTGTCACATAATTATCAAGTTGATATATTAATCACATCTTTAGTGCAGTGGGGAGATGCTGCCCCAGAACTAGCATCTTCAGGATCTAATACATTTTTGTGCTCTGTCTTACCTAAAAAGAAGACAGAGCTGATTCCAGTCCCAAAAGGCTGAAGATGGCACAGACATACTGAAATTCTTTTACTACAGTATGACCTCTTTTATCAAGCATCCTTGGAGCCAGGCTACTACTAGACCACAAGAATTACCCTCAAAAAATCCTATGTAAACACAGTTTTGCCAGCATCACACCACATATACAGCCCACCCAAAAAATGTATACACACTTCAGGAAAGGAAAAACTTATCCTTCATAGTTTTATCAAATTGTGATAACACTGTTTACTGTAGTACGATATTTTATCAATAGATGGCATTACATTGGCGGCCCTTAGGTAACTTGTATTAATCTCCTGATGTCTGAATAAATTTAGTATTTCCTTTCCTGAAGTCTGTATACATTTTTTGATTGATTCTGTATATTGCTGTGTTATCAAAAGTAGAACAAGGCTTAAAACAGGAATTAAAGCAATCATAAATGCCTTCAAACAAGATTTTTTTAATTGTTTCATGCAATACAAAGGCTAAAAAAAAGCCTAAAACCAAAAAATAATATATACTTACTATCCTGAATGGATAAATTGCAGCTATATATAAGAAATGAGCAAAACCATATCTCCAAAACACTTTGCTGCTGTAGAAAGTTGTAAACATGTGGTGATTCCCTTGTAGCTATTCAACAAACTAATGGTGGTTGATTTAAATAAGTGCTGGACTATGAGATTTGCCGGATCATGTAGTGCCAGATTGAAGAAGTTTGACTGTATTTACTTTCCAAACTATAGCATACAATTTCTACAAGAAAATGCTATAACATTTCTCATTCAAAAAGTATATTAGTGATCAGTTCCCTTTTTGGCTTTTGCTTTTTTTAAGAATTCTTGCTAAATTAATTTATTTCATAAAAGGTTGTACTTGTATGAAGTTAAATTCTAATTTTTAAGTGAAAATTTATCATTTTATGTTTTGAATTTTTTATCATTAATAATTTTTGACTTTTTGTCATGACTACTATAAAAATTCACTTGACATAAAATCTTGTCTATTTAAGATAACCTATTAAAAATCATTTATTAACTTGATATTTTCTTGCATAATCAAAATATAAAAGAAGACTCAGTGAAATATTAAAACTTCTAGCAAATTATAATTGTATTTATACAAGTTAATAATAAAATCTTGAATCAAAGTTATTAGGTGAGCCACAGAAACCGTTTAATGATTTATCCTGGTGGATTTTGTATGGATCACCTAATCAAGTTAAATGATATTCAATATAAACTAACTATTCTGTTTTTCTAAAGAAAACATGGCCTCTATAAGAAAGAAATAGTAACACTTTAAAGCAACTTTTTTTTTTCAGTTATTCTACAAATTTATTTTATATTCTTAATATTTTACAAGCATATACTTCAATATAAAAATAAAAATGTTATATATATTCAGATGCTAACAATTTTTGTTCTTGTTTTACAGCTGAACTTTATCTTAGCTTAGACAGGAGTTATGAAGCTGAAGCTTGTGTCCATGAAACCTCTGCAATATTTCCATTATCTTATCAAGTAGCTTTTATGGTAAGTTGTCTGTGTGCTAATCTCTTATCTTTCTTAATGAAATGTTATTGAAACATTATGTACAGTTGGTGATTAGGTATAGGAAGGTACTCAATTTCTTTACATTGTTACAATGGTTGACAGAATAGAAAGATTTTGGGGTTGGGTTTCTTTACAAGTGGGCGGTGAAAAGATTTTGACCTGATTAAGAAGAGATTGCAAAAAGTAATTCTGATTTTTGGCCATTTGTTTAGATTTGGGAAAGTGTGTCAAGAAGAACTTTTCAGCACCCCCTCAAATATGTTCATGAATGTATGCATTTGAAAGATTAAAATAGTTTGATTATATTTGATTAATTTATATACATGAGTTTATATAATAAATACCTACACAATATTAACTTTGAAAATATTTGTAGTCTAGGGAGTGGTCTATATTTGTACTGAATACATTAGACTTAAATTTCTTGGCCTACTATGTATGAAAACAATAGTAAAAAGGTTATGTAACATGCAGGGTTTTTATTTTCTAATTTGTCATTTTTCTTTTGTTTTTCTTTTAGCTCTGTCTTATTTGAGATATGAATAGTTGAAAATTCAAGCTATAGTAATGTTGACAAGCAGAGCCTTTTATTTATTTATCTTTAGGCTGCTTGTATTTTCTTTCCAGAATGACTCATTTCTCTTAACACCCCCACCCCCTGTTTTGTGTGTTAAGTAAACTAAAGACACAGCTTATCAGTCATAGTACAAACCGTGGGAAGACCTTGTAGATTTCTGATCATTTCTCTTGATTTTTTGCAGATAAAATATAACAAAATGACTCATCTCTTTTCATGTCTATCTACTCTTCAATAGAAATAAGTTTTTCCTTCTTTTTCTTATGACACAATGTAATACAATTTGCAGTTAATTTTGGTTAATCAGAAATAACAACTTTAGCAACACTTTATATCATCTTTTTTTATTTATGTGTATATGAAACAAAAACTTAATTTTTAACACTTTTAATTTTAACCAGATATATAAATCCCTGCAAAAAATCTGTTAATAATTCCAATTGTTTGTTAAATAATAATATTGTTGGGATATTTTTGCTCCACCCTTATAAAAATTACACCATGTTTAAAAACACATTAGAATTAAAGAATCTCATGAATTCAATAAAAAAAATTGAAAGGGTTAAAATGACATAGTTATATCTTTACCTTTATTTTCTTTGCTATCAAAAAATAAAACTTAAATATTGTTTTATTTATTTTTTAATTAAATCTTTAAAAAGATGAAACTTATAAAATAATTTTTGAATACTTCAAAATAGCATTCCTAAAACAATCTATGTCACTATTTTGCCTTTCTTTTAATCACACTCAGACATGATCAAACAAAGCAGAGAATAAATATTTTAAATTTGTGAAGAAAAAAATGTGTGTTTAAATTAACATATCTACATGAAATATTACTGGTAGGTTCATAATGATAGGTAAATGTTCATTTGTTTATATATTTTGATGTTTAGTTGTTTTAATCTTTGAATGCTAGCACCTACATATCTACTAAAGAAATCAGGTTTAAGTTTCTCTCCATGCACAAGAACTTAAATATTTAATGATTAACTGTTTTATTCCAACACTTAAAGAATTTATATCAGTTTCTAAGCCATTGACCATCTATATTTTGTTGGTGAATGAAATAAATATTTGCTTGTGTTTTCCTTTTGCTCATAGAAAATTTACATTTGTACTTTTGTATATTGTTTTTTAAATTCCAAGATTTTAATGTTGTGGAATTTTAAGTGCTTGCTTTGTTGCTTTATAAAATTTTATATAGATATATATATATATATATATATATATATATATATATATATATATATATATATATATATATATATATATATATATATATATATATATATATATATTTATAGATCAGAAAAAGAATTCAAATTCAAAAGAAAATGTTTATTTTATTTTGAGAGAGGTTTCTTAAAATATCTTATTTAATAAGGATATTTCTGAATTAACTTTAGAAAAAAAAAACCTGATTATATTTTTTTAAAGAAAATTATTAAAAGTTAATGCAATAATAAAATAATTGTTATTCTTTTTCTTTTTTTCAGAAAGGACGTGTTCATGAACATAAGAAGAGATACCATGAGGCTAAAGTATGCTTTGAAAATGCAATATCTATAAATCCAGGTCATGTAAAAAGTTTGGAACATTTAGTAAGTAAACGTGCTTACCTATTTGCACTTATTCTCATTTCTCATTCTATATTTCATTCTCCTAATATTTGAAATATTTGACAAATTGATGTGTGATTTTTTTCTTTTAGGGAAATGTATTACATAATTTAGGAAATGATCGAATGGCTGAGAAGGTATTAAGGGAAGCTGTCAATGCTGATACAAAGTCTCACCAGTCCTGGTAAGTTACATGTTTAGATTACATGTTTTTTATACTAAAACAAAAATTCTCAAATGAGAGACACTTTCAAAGTTTTTTTTAAAAAGGATGGAAATTTAGGAGGAATTTCAGTTATGTATAAGATATAAATATAATGCTAAAACATTTCTAGATTGACAGTCAAAAATAGAGGAAGAATTGAGAAATCCTAAAAGTGTAAAGAGAGAAATGTGACTTGGGATTCTAAGAAGCATTCTAAGAATTTTTAACGAGAAATAATTTTGTCTTTTTTAAACTCACTAAACCATAACAACATTTTAAATCAATTACTAAAATTCTTTATGGTACTTCTAAAATCAATGGTAGAAATATTATTGTCTTCTAACACTTGAAAAGCAAATTTAATCTTGTTTGTAACTTTGAGGTGAATCATTGGGCTTTGAACTCCTTTGTGTTATTGATAGTGCTACCACAATTTATTATGCAGCCTATATATATATATATATATATATATATATATATATATATATATATAGGCCAAAAGTTTGGAGTCACCATTTAGAGTTTCAAAATTAAATTTAATAGCTGAATTTGAGCCAGAGGGACTTTCTCTTCTTGAAGGGTTTTATTATATATTCAGTCATAATAATAGTAAAATTAACCCATTAATACATAAAGTTTCCTTAAAATTGTAGCTTTTTTTGCCTAATATACCTTACTAATGGTAGTCTTAGGGTTGACATATTTTAAATTTTAGTTAACCCCCTCTCTAAAAAAATTGTATATAATGAACTAATGGGTTAACTAGTATCAGAATCCTAGTTTAGTTGGATAATTAAACTAAAGAAGGTATGAAACTTACAAACTGGTAAATTACTAGATATCTAAACAATATTTGTAGAAATAGATTTTGATTTTTGTGATAATAGCATTAAAGACTGCTTTTCTTTCTTTTTTTTTTTTTTTTTTAAATAAATGGCTCCCTCCTAATAATAATGAAAAACATCTTTTTTATTGTGATGATGATTTATGATCATTGTCTTTAGAGAGAAAGAAGAGATAGAAGCTGATAATACAAACTTTCATTTGAATTTATGAACAAAAAAACAAGATGAGAATGTGAACTTCCCAAATGTTTAGAAAAATTTATGAAAAGGAGTTTTATCATTTTGCCCATATTTGTTGGTTGGGGAGGAATAATCTGTTTTGAGTTTTGGTTTAATTTCCTTCTTTTTTGGTTTGTATGTCAATTTTACATATCTTTTCCCTCTGTTTTTACATGTTTGTAGAAGATAACATTTAGAGAACTTCAATGAAATTTGAATTCTTTATCCTTTCTTGTTGCCAACCTATTTTTATTGCATGTTTATTCTTTCAGATGGTAGATTAGCAACTGTAAAAGAAGAGCATTCAATAATTAAAAAAATAACATTCTTTATGTGAAAGTAAACATTAAAAAAATCCAAGAAGTATTATTTTTAATATTAATGAATCTATTTTAGACATTTTGCAAGGAGATTCTTCCTTTCCAAAAAATTGCCCTCTACTGTATAACTTAAAATTTGTTATGTATGGATTAATTTGAATGATTATAAGTCAAAATATGCACTGAATTTATTATTTTAGTTGGATATAGTAAGTGAAATCTTTGTTTAAAAAGATATAGAATAAGAATTATAAAAGTAATGGAAAAATATAATGTCTATAAAATCAGAAAATATGAAAAAGTTTGATTTTTTTTTTTTTTTTTTTTTTTTTTTAGTAAAGAGAAAAAAATGATGGTAACTTTCTCTTGTTCTATTCTTGCTTATTGTCAAATTAAAAAAACAATTTCCTTTTGCATTACTTTTAAAAGTTTGGCCATTTTTTTTGTAATCTATATCAATTTCCAACTAAAAGGTTTGAATATTTTGTTTTCTGTGCATCAAGAGCATATATTTCTTATTATTTTTAAAATTTTGCAAGTCAAAATTTGTGTGTCCATGAGAATGGCACATTCTCAACACTGGAAAATGCTAATTTTTATTCTTAGCATTCAATAAATATTATTGGAACTAATAAGACACCCTATTGTCTCCATAATCAAAATATTGTAAATAAATATACTGATTATGTTAGTATTCAAGAAAATGTACCTCTATATTAAAAAAAAATGCCTAAATTGCTCTCTATAAAATGTGAAAAATTAACAAATAATAAGATAGTTTTAAGGCTATGAACCAACAGAGCAATATATTTTGTAATTAGATTCTTTAGATTTGGTTTTGTATGAAAATAATAAAAGGTCAAATGAATATTTCTGTTCTACTTAGTACAGACAGATATTTCCTAATTAACAATCCTTGAAAGGTTTTATTGCTTCCTTTTTCATACTTCTACAAAGTTTGTCTGAAAATGATCCTGCCATTTAATATTAACAAAATATAGCTTACCTAGGGCAAGTGCATCATAGTCCCTTTCAAAGTACTTGTTTTGCGATGTTACATACTTATCTCAGCATTCTTTTCACTTTTCAAAACAGTCTGTAAATCCCTCTTTTGGGATTGTTATCAGATGCCTCATCATATTTTCTTTTATTATGTCCACAGTTTGAAATCATTTCTCTTTCAATGGCAATTTTTAGCTTTTTCAAAAGCCAGAAATCATAGAGAATTATATTTAGAGATGAAGCAAGAGGAAGGTCGACAGACCTGTATAATGTGATGTATTTTCAGTATATGAGGGGATGCTGACCATTTCCAAAAATCTAATCAAATATTGAATTTCTTTTCTTTTTTTTTTTTTTTTTTTTTGGTTGGGCCAAGAATTTTTCAGTATCTCCTCGTAGCTTGACACAAAGTCAAGATATTCAAAATGGTTGAAGATGTTACAAATAGTCAATGGTATCCCCAGGTATTCTAATTCTCAAAATCTTATTCACCAATTTCCTTTGACTGCTGACCATATGTATTTGGCATTTTTCATGTGTTCTTCTTCCAGAATGTGGATTACTTTCAATGGATTTCTGGCAAAGTTTGAAGCATTTGATACCAAAGTTTTATCTGGGCATAACTCATTAAATCGTCCCTGAAAGCTTTTTTAATCATTCAAATAGTTTTTGTGGACAGATATCCATATTTCAAGCACAAACTCATGTATATTTGCTGTGCATGTGACTGTCACACAGTATACAAACTCGGTCAATGATGCCTCAGAGCCAACTGAGTAAACCTGCATGAGAAATATTGTTTATGCATACAAAGGAAGATTCACTCTGATTGCCAATTAGCAACAAGCCTGTGCACTTGGTTCTATTTGGCTCTATAATTTCTGGACAGACCTTTTTAAAATGATTAAACATATCAAATTCTAAAGTACTTAATATATCAAACAACAAATGTAATGAATATATCAGTAAATAAGAGAGTATTTTTGCACTGATCCTTTCACTTAATAATGCATACGTCATCTGGAAAAGCTCTTTTGGAACAAATTAATGCCTTTTGCAGGAAAATCAGATCACTTACTTTTTCTTACTTTTGTAATAAGATATTTTGTTATTGCTTTCACATTAAAACCATTTAACAAAATCATAATTTTCATCAGCAAAAGAAAAAAAAAACTAATTTATTTTTATTCAAATAAAAAGAAACATAGCTGGTAATGTTGTTTAAAATTATATAAGTCTAGAAATGTTAAAAACCTAAACCAGCATTGAAAGACTCGTAACAGAGGATGACTAAAACATTTTTAATTGTTGAAACATTGAAAAAATATTCTTTGTGGGTGTTAAATATGTTTATTCTTATTGAAGCATTATTTTAAACTTGTTAATTAGGTTTTTTAATCAGTGTTTAATAAGAAATGTTAATTTATTGATTTGTAGTCATTATCTAAATTTGAAATAATTGCATTGAAGAGATTCAACATTTTCTTTTGTTCATCTTAGCAATTATAATAAGAGTGTCCCACTATGTCATTATTTTAGTTTTCAGGTGACCCAATATTAATATTTTGGGTGATGGCAAATATTCATTTTACCTTGAGTCTCTTAACAGAATTTGGAACAAGTTTTTAGTTTCTAAAAATATCAGAGTGAGAAAACAAATTTGTATATATGGTAAATAGTAACAGTAAACTTTTTTGTATGAATAATCAAATAAAAAAAAAAAACAAAAACAAAATCATACACAAACAGATAATTAGAAAATGTATAAAAAGATTCTTTAGAAATGTTGTTTAGTGTTTACATTAAGTTTGGCTTAAAAAGGTCAATTAAAAGGGTTCTGTAAGTATGTATGAGTATGAAAAAGAGAATATGCTGAGAAGAGGTTTGTTCATGTACATATGTTCAGAAGGAGAGGAAGGAAGAAGACAGTCAATAGAGCGGCTGGTGTTGCTGTGTTTGCAGCTGGCAGTTTTGTGAGTTGAAGTCAGCCAGTTTTCTTTGAAGTCACCCCATTACCAGCCAGTCTTTTTGACATGAGCAAATTTTCTACTACTGACATTCTTGAGTTGCCAACTCACTTTTTACTTGATTTTGGATTAGCTACCAGTTCCTAGGCATAACGATTTTGAAAACTGAACAAAACTTTTGATTGGTTGATAATTCTTTCTGTTCTCTGTGACATTTACCAAAATCAAACTCAAATAAAGCTAATTTTTCTTTTTCTTCTTGAAACCAAGCAAAAGCATTATATATGTCTATATTTTTAAAAAGATTTCTTTACAAATTTAAATACAAAATATATGGGAAATTTTATTTGCATACACTTTTGCTGAAATTTATTCTTTCCCAATGTTTTAGAGTGAACTTTAGTGAAGAATAATTATATCTCTCCTGCTTTTTTATTTTTTCAAACAATCTGTTATAATTTATAAACTAAGAACGACTCATAAAATGTGATATAATAATAATTTTAAGCTCTGATGCAGCCACTCTCTTTCCCTTTTTCTATGAGGGGTGTTTAAAAATTGTCAACTTGACCAAAATTTGGTCATATTTTTGGTAAGTTGGTGAAGCTAGGAACTTTTCAACACCT